GAATAGAAGCAATAATGTCCATTCCCAAACTGATGGACTAATCGAGTTCACTAACTATACCTTTTGAAATATGGTTCAAAGTGCTTGGGGAGATAACCCAACCAGTGGGATCTTACATTACCTCAAGTAGAGTTTGCACACAACAACACAGTTCATACTGCAACAAGCAGGTCCTAGTTTGTTATTATGTATACTGAGGTTCCTTACCATATGATGGATTTAATAAAGTTGCTCAAGGGCAATAATAAAAGTGTTGCTGTTGAACACGTGACAGGAGAGGTGTTAGTAGTCCGTGATGAAGTAAAACAAAAGTTAGAGAAGCCTAATGCAAAATAAGACAGTAGCAGATTTGCATTGACGGGATAAACAATTTCAGGAAGGAGACTCAATGACAGTATTTTTGAAAAATGAAAGATTTTCGTTGGTACCTACAACAAGTTGAAACCAAGAAAGCATGGGTCTTTCAAAGTGGCTAAGCGAATTAACAACAATGTTTACATTATTGATTTACCAGCTTCTATGGGTATTTATCAAACGTTCAATGTGGTAGATTTATATGAGTTCCATAAAGATGATAAGTCTTTATATCTAGATTATAACTCGGGGTTGAGTTCTGAAGGGGACTGATGTAAAACATATTGTTGAATGAATGGAAGAAAAATTAGATCAAAATAGGGAAAATGTAATATTGGAAAGAGAACATCTAAATTCAAGTTTGGGCCCATGAGACCATTCTGACATATAGGACAATGAGATGAGTAATAATCATCACTTTGCCATGACGTACAATGGATTTCAACTTTTCGAGTTTGTTTAGGACTCAAAAATTAATTTTTAATGTTTTAACACTATTTCTATCATTTAATTTGTTTGGAATTCTTTTCAATTTTAACATGTTTAAACTTTATTTTCATTAATTTTAAATAAGTTTTCATTTAAGCCCTTATAAATATGGGATTATTTTATTGTTTTGTTTATCTTTTCATTAATAAATTTCATAAGTTTATCCATTCATAATTTGGTGAATTCCAAATCTCGAATTTTTAAGATTTTCTGCTTGAATTCATTGTTTCGCGCTACGTCAAAATATTACAAAAAAATATGACTTTTATCCAAATTAACGGCTTAATAAGACTTCTAAATGACAATATTGTTCTTATTAATTTAGTAAAATAGTCAAATTATTTAAATTATCCAAAGTAAAGTATGAAATAGCAATGCGTCAAAAAAAATTATAGAAATTAGACATAATAACATGATATGTATAATGTGAAAAAATATATAATAAAAATTAAAATTAATAATTAACTAAATTTTATAGGTTAAGAAAAGTCATGACAAAATAAATAATAAAAAGCAAGCGTGCAAGTTAGATCACAACAGAGCTGTTGATTTTATTTTTTTTTTATTTTTTATTTTTTACTCCAATTGGCTTGTTTGACAGTGTAAAGTGCATAGTGGTCAAAGATATTAAATAAAAAAATAACGAATTTTCTTATTTTATTTTTTCACTGTATTGTCTAATATTGTATATCAAACAGGTCCAATACATATTTCTCCGAGAAGGAAATTTAGAAAATGCACAACGGATTATTCAATAAAAATATCAACCACCAATTTCCACAGACGATACCTATAACAAAAAAGGGTCGGGATTTGTGGAGACAAAGAAACGCTCTTCAGTGGCTCAATACAAGCTCATATCTCCCTTGCAATCTAATTTATAAAAACCCGGCATACAACATACTCAAACTAATGGCAAACCAACATTGCCCATTCAAGTACTCAAATGAATAGACGAAGCAAACAAGAGCAGAAAAACAAAGATACCACAATTTACTCCGGGTTGAAGTTCAGAGATTCCTTCCATATTAACTCTTTTATGTCGTCTTCACTCAGGTTTGATTGTTCAAAATCAAACATGAAAGGAGATGAACAAGTTGGCTCCTCATTGATCTCATGGAGACTCGACAAAAAAGGATGGTTCAGTGCTTCTTCAACTTTAAAAAAAAAGCCACAAGAACATTTTCTAATCAACAAAAATATGAGGAAAATAATTGTTAAAATGCTTTAAACTGTCACGAAACCACAAGGTTTACCAGTAATACGTTTTGCTGGATCAAACACAAGCATTTTCTCTGCAAGATCGATAGCTACTGGGGATATATCCGGAAATTTTTGGGAGAAGGGCTGCTTGGGAAATTGAGGAAGCTGCGTGACATACCTACGAGCATTGTCACTTCTTAGAAATCCAAGATCAGAATCATCTGGTGATCCTAATAGCTGCTTCCAAAAATATTCACATAAAGTTTAGTCAATTACAAGTCTGTTTCCATCAGATTCACAAACAAATCTGAGAAAATATGTAACGCACTGAAAATTTATAGAAAATTTTATTTGTACAATATGCTATATTTTTATGTTCTGGAAAGGAAGGGGACTAAAGTGATATATGGGTAAATTCAATTTTATTTGGATCAAATATCTAGATTTCGGTAGAGCGAATAAGTATATCAATATTGGGCTCGTTTTGTAGTTCGTATTAAATGACTTGTCATAGACTCAAAAAGCAGTTGTTTCGAATAAGTTAAGTACAAGTTATTAAAGTTAAAAGAATTTAATAATTAAATGAGTTGGTTAAGGATTTAAAAATCTTGACAGCCATGTAAGATAATTATTTATCATATTTTGATAAGTTTAATTTTAATCATGAAGTACTATTAATCCTAATTAAATTAAGATAGATTTATTATCTACATCCCCAAGTAAAGACGTCTCCTTCTTCTAAAATTCTATTGGAGGATTATTTATGAAGCTAATCCAAATTATATTGATAAGTAATGGCAAATCCATTATTGATAATTAATAAAAAAAAAAATTCGTTAATCCTTAATCCAATTTGATTAGGATAAACTTTGAAACTATGTCTAAATCAATTAGGATTCAATGATTGATCCATATTATAAATATGCCATTAGATTAATCAAAGTTTTACATCAAAATTTCTTCCATCATATATTTTCTTTTAGTATAACGAAATCATACTATTTGTTTATTGTGAAACAAAAAAACATGAAGATAATTTGCATCCATTTGAAATTATTTTCAGAGCATACACTTGCCGATATTCATCAAGGCGGAGATTTTAAGAAAAGGATTTGGAACATGCAATCATATTTTTCTGATCCAAGAAATTCATTTGATCTATCAAGGTAGAATAACGAGGTGAAGTTGTTTTATCCCATTTAAATTGTTTATTTTCATGTTGTTGAATTATTATGCTTATGAAAGTTTTAAAATATGATATAGTATGTGTGCTATGGTCATCCGGTACCAAAGATGTGATATTTATTAAGCTTTTACCAGTTTCAAAAAATATGATGACGGTATGATTTTTTTACGCATGATTTAAATATTTTTATTTAGGATTGCACCATAATTTTTCGTGTCCTACCAAATATTAACATGTATTCACCTTTTTCCCTACTCCTCACAAGTTAGAACGGGTCATTAGTTGGCGAGCAATGAGGTGCAGTTGTGATGCCAGAAATTATAGAACCCAATAATAATAATTCGATGAAATTTGACCGTGTATTTTATTTCAGTATTTGTTTTAGTTTCGTTATTATTATGGAAATTGTTATTTAGAGTTAAGAGAATATGTTTATTCGATTATGTTTCCTATACGTTTTATTTATCATTGATGGAACCAAAAATTTCTTGTTAGGATGTTTAATAAGTTTATTTAATTATGGAATGAAAAATGTAGTAACGATTTAAATCTTAAAATTTGGGTCGTTACAGAATAACTTCTAAAACTAACCAATTCTACATGGTTCCGGAATTCCATAGAGCAAATAGGGGAGAAAAGTACCTCAGTTATAAGCCCCAATTGATGAACATAGTCTTTCCCCGGAAAAAGAGTATCTCTTTTAATAATCTCCATTAAGATGCAACCAACCGACCAAATATCTATTGCCGCAGTATATTCTGAACAATTAAGTAATAACTCAGGAGCTCGATACCATCGAGTTACAACATACTCTGTCATGAAATCTGTCTCTGAGGTACTTCTTGCAAGCCCAAAGTCACATATCTTGAGATCACAGTTTGCATCTAGAAGCAGATTGCTGGGTTTCAGATCTCGATGCAGAACATTAGCAGAATGTATGTATTTTAGTCCCCGCAGTAGCTGATAAAGGAAATACTGCCATGACAAGAGGAAACACGAAGAACATCTAAGCTTTGGTGAGGCAAAGTATACATGATGCAACAAACAATACATTTTATTGCTGGATTAATCTCAATATCCCATTTACTCTAACCACCACCACCCACTCACCTCTATATAAGTCCAAAATGCCCTTGGAAATGGGTAAAAAGGATGTTGAAGTTCAAGACATGAATTGCCAAGAAATAGAATTCATCTTAAATGCTGTTTGCTGGATGTAAGGCTTCGTGGATTATTGATGGTATTGTATATATGGCAAATGTTACATTCAACATTTTACTCCAGATGTATAAGAGAAACTGCGATAATAAGTAATACTTCAAATATATTTATCGACTTTGTGCATAACATATAGGTTAAATGCAGAGTTTCTGCAAGATCTTAGGACTTAACAAACAATCCAATTTGGAATGGAACATACGTAACAGAACTGGTATACCTTCACTTTTCTTCCCTAACATATCCCACTTAGCCTTTTGTATCCAAAATCTATGGTTATGTGTGTTTTATCAAATTAGAAACTAAGTTCCATAAAAAAGCAATGACATTTTTAACACAAAATCTAAGGCAGACAGCAGATGTCTTGGATATTTTATGTAAGAGATAGCATTCTGTTTCACGATAAATATTCTAAATACGAATTGAAGCAGCAATCTGTTCCAACTAGTGATACATAAGCAATCAGGTGTTTGCATATCCAGCTATTAATTAAAGACAATACCGGTCACATCTGAATATACAAAGGGTTGCACGAGCTCAGGTTGAACAATATTTTCAGAATCAGGATAATCATATTGCATGAAAACTGAAAAGAAACTAGACCCATTCATCTCTTAGGGTCCCAAATTCAGATAAAGATGGGTGCAAGAAGTAGCATGCACATATAAATTTAGCCATTCTATTAAACGAGAAATATGGTACAAAACTAACATGCCAATGCAGGAAGCAGGTAAAGACATTGTGAAATGCCTAAAATTCTCCATGGAGGCTGTTGGGAAAACACCTCCCTAAGATTGCCCAAGATCAAACAATGCTTGACAATGTGAAAAAAATCCAAACCACTTCAAGAACAAGAAAATGAGGAAGAAATGAATTCAATGGAATATATGAAGAACAATATATTTGGATTACTTGAACAAACCTCAAGTTAATCCCTAAAAAAGAAAATAACTTTGAATTTATACCAAGATGAACAACCTTCTATCTTGTAAAATTCTCTCCAAGTTTTCTCTCAATTCTCTCTAAAATCGGGCTCAAGAGTTATCTTATGATAAAGAGGCAAAAAATCGGAAGTCTATATATATACCGGGGCGCCAAGTGGCGCTTAGGTGCCATGTTTCTGCCGGTTTTTACATTCGGGGCGCCACTCGCCCAGTTTCTGCTTCGGCAGAGGCGCTGCCCACTCCAGCGCCTAGGCGCTGCTTCCTCTTCTCAGCTTCTTCTTCAGCTTCTCTTCTCACAATTCTCTACCTCATACATCATTTGATAGACCTCAAATTTTGGACGAATACAAGAAGAATAAGCAAGCACCAAAAAACTCGGCTGCATCATTCAAACCATGATTGCCTACGTATCCAAAAAATTGGGATCAAGCCTCCGTAGTTCACCTCCACCTTCATA